GCGCGCGCGTGCGCATTTTTATATATATATATATATATGTCTGTATGTCTGTATGTCTGTATTTATGTATAAAACCAAAAAGAATGCAAGCAAGACAGAGGACAGAGAAGCCAATGGGCTTTGGACCAGAGCTACCATCCAAGCTGCCTGCTCTCTAGAACACCTTATAACTGGGCAGACGTAGATTGTTCTTCTCTTTCCTGTTCAGAAATTCTGCACTCTCTAAACTGGGCAGTATACTCAGAAATATAGATTGAATTGGGTCTCGCTGTACCAAGATGTCACAAATTTTTGCTGCCTGCTCACCTGGACACCTGCTAGAATTTAAATAGACTTTCTTGCTCTGTCTTGCCCTAAATAGACTCACTGTTGATTTTTTTACTTGTTTCCAGTAAAGATTAACTTTACTTGGGTCAGTGTAATCTCTTAGGAAGAGCTCCCTGTCCTACAAGGCAAGATACAAGCTGAGCTGCACCTGTCCTCATCAGCTTGGCAGGTCATTTCTGCTTCAGCAAGAACCTACAGGCTTTTTAAGGCTGGGAACAGTTGAAACAGTTTTGAGCAAGTCTTAATATAGCAGATCATAAGAAGAACCAAATAACTCCAAATCAAAACAGTGCACCATTACTCCAAGTTTCACTTGAGTACTTTTGGATCCAAACCACTGTCAGCCAATATCTGTGGCAAGTGAAATAGCTGAAGAAAACGTGCAGAACTTGGTTAAACCTGGAGGAAGTAAAACATTACTGAAGAAGAGGAAACTGCAGAGGAAACCTGCATGTGCTATGCAAATGAAAGATGCTGCAAGGCTTTCAGGTGTTTTTCTGCCAGGGGAGTTTTTCAGTGGCTGCACCTTTATGTCTTGAGAGCACATGGTTTCCTGAAGGCACTTCCCCATCTATGTCCCTCACAACCAGCCCTGCCATCTATGGCAGAAGTCTACTGAACCATGCTGTGTCCCATCCTATTGCTCCCAGCAAGTGCATGTCTGTGGAGTCTGTAGGCCTTTTTTGTCCTTCTCTGATAATTATTTCAAGCAGAGTTGGTTGGTGCTGAGATTAAACTCAACATGATGCTGTAGTTAGCAGTGTAGGCACTCTCTACAATGTTATTTACCTCTTGCTGCTTTCCACACGCAGCATCTGCCTCTATGACCAGCAAATAAAACAGAAAAATTATCACATGGTGTCCTTAATATATGCTGAATGAGATCTCTACTGGAGATGTGCAATGATGCTGTCAATCAAGGCATGTGATGACATGAATTGAGGGCTTCCCTGGTGAATCATTTTAGGCTATTGCCTTTATCTCAATAGCACAGTTTCGGTCAGGATAGGCTAAAATGCACACATTAATTACTATGCAATAATTGGATCCACGTGGAGGAGTTTGGATGTTTAACGTCTCTCTGAAAGGGTGATGAATAATGCAAAGAACACTACAAAGTAAAAGAAAAGCAGACATCTCTACTTCCTCTTTCCTTTCTGACAGAAGCAGCAGTGCCAGCAGCTGGGAGGAGCAGGGTGCTGAGGGCTGTGGCTCCAGCCATGTGACCTTGGTCCCAGGAGTCCCTGGAGGTCCTCCACGGCCAGGTGTCCCCAGGGGCAGAGCCATGTTGACCCCCGCATCAGAACAAGTTGGATGAGGTTTATGAGGGGGAGAGGAACTTCCAGACCACTTGAACTTTATAGGTTGGCAGAGCGCTCCGAGCTGTTGCTCATTGATTGCTGTCAAAAGTCACTGAGCAAATATTCTTATATGACTTTAGTTCTGCTATTTCAACCAGTGATGCCTTTTTTTTTTCACCGCACCTGCCTAACTGTTCTTCAGCTGACAAAATTACATCCTAACAACTGCCTAGCAACCTGGCAATGGGCTAACTACTTGAGTGATGCCAGCCCTGGAGGCCAGGACATCCCAGCATAGACAAGAATGCAGAGCCTGGTCTCAGAAGCTTGCAGAAATAATTATGTATGTCTAACTTGGCCACTCTTGTCTGAGTATTAAAATCTGCTTGGTAAGATCTCAGACCTCATATTTTGCCAATTTCTATTTATAAGGAGCATTGAATTTTGATTGAATGATTCTTGCCTAATATAACTGATACAGCTCTCATTTTATTAATTGCCCAAGTGATTTCATTTCTCTTCAGTGTTTTGTATTTTTAACTTGCTGTATTCCGAGGTTTTCAAATTCCACAGCTGCTAAGTACTTTGTAGATGTGAATATGTGATTTTTCCATTTAGTTTAGGTCCTTACACCAGCTGAGGATCTGGTCTTTTAAGCTGGCCATCTCAGTTAGTTTCTGTTCTTAAAATACTCCTGGAATGAATAAGATTCTTTTTGTTGATAAGAACTGACTTTTTGATTATATCCAAATTAAGATGTGGTATCTGATGAAAGGCAAAGCCTAATATTCACTACACGAGAATGATACCTGTTCTAAATTTCAATTTAAATATCTTTAGTATCCATCACTTGAACAATTGCATTCTCTTCTTTTTGCTCCCATATAAAGGTCAAAGTGTCCTGGTGAATACAGGATCTTCAAATAGGAGGAGTTAAAACCCTGCATAACTGAATGCCTGACTGAGACAACACATCACTTAGAGCAGATCTGGATATAGCGGAAGAGTTTATAAAAATCTAGGATTAGATTTTCTGATATGCCTTTCCGCTTGCAGCTCGCCTAAAGGGCAGAAGAAGTGGCATAAATGGCTTTTTGCCATCATCTCATACCATATCTTTCCCATGGCTTTATCTCAGACTTCTGAAAAGCAATAGCACTTATGACATTAAAAGCATGTTATATCTCAGCACAGTCTTGAACTTCCAAATTGTTTTTTTTTTTTTTTTTAAATGTCATCTTAGAAAGACTGTTGAATGGATAAAATTATGGCAAAGAAAAATGCAAGGCCTGATTTTGATCTCACATTTATTTCAATCTTCATTAAATTCACGGTTCAGAAGAAATATAAGGGAGATATAAGGGAGACCTCAGTCAGGGATATTAAGGTCTTTGTTCCTTTATGCCGTTATTTAGAACAGTTTAATCAGCAGTGCTGAACGCCAGATTGTATTACAGACAGCTTCCGAGAGCAACTTTTTGTTTTAAGACCGTAAAAGGCAAAAATCTACACGAGAATGATACCTGTTCTAAATTTCAATTTAAATATCTTTAGTATCCATCACTTGAACAATTGCATTCTCTTCTTTTTGCTCCCATATAAAGGTCAAAGTGTCCTGGTGAATACAGGATCTTCAAATAGGAGGAGTTAAAACCCTGCATAACTGAATGCCTGACTGAGACAACACATCACTTAGAGCAGATCTGGATATAGCGGAAGAGTTTATAAAAATCTAGGATTAGATTTTCTGATATGCCTTTCCGCTTGCAGCTCGCCTAAAGGGCAGAAGAAGTGGCATAAATGGCTTTTTGCCATCATCTCATACCATATCTTTCCCATGGCTTTATCTCAGACTTCTGAAAAGCAATAGCACTTATGACATTAAAAGCATGTTATATCTCAGCACAGTCTTGAACTTCCAAATTGTTTTTTTTTTTTTTTTAAATGTCATCTTAGAAAGACTGTTGAATGGATAAAATTATGGCAAAGAAAAATGCAAGGCCTGATTTTGATCTCACATTTATTTCAATCTTCATTAAATTCACGGTTCAGAAGAAATATAAGGGAGATATAAGGGAGACCTCAGTCAGGGATATTAAGGTCTTTGTTCCTTTATGCCGTTATTTAGAACAGTTTAATCAGCAGTGCTGAACGCCAGATTGTATTACAGACAGCTTCCGAGAGCAACTTTTTGTTTTAAGACCGTAAAAGGCAAAAATAAACTGCTTTGTTCTGTGCAATCAAAGACCCAGAATAAAAAGTGTCAAGGGGGCTTTAAATGCCAGTTCCTGTATTCCCAATGTGTGTACCTTGGACTACTTCCAAAATGGGAGCAAGATAGATTTTTATTTTTATTTTCTTTTTAAATGGAAGAGAGCTGCCAAAATACATAAGGAGAAGGATTAGAGTCAGTTGCTTTTTGTTGGTTCTTGGGTGGGAAAGTTGCCAGGCAAAGCCTTATGCTGAATTCCCAGGGAATTTCACTTTCAAAAGCCAGCTTCTGGATTTCCCTCATTTGGGAAGCTCTCCTTGAAAGAGATATTCATATCTAGGAATCAGCTCAATGCAGAACTGTTGCACTGGCAAATTGGCAGTTGGCTATTCAAAAGCTGCTCTACATAGCAGGCTTTGCTGATTTTCTCTAGGTTGGGATGACTTGTCAGCGGGGCATGTTTCAAAGCGAAATCGCAGCGCACCCTGGGTAATTTGAACTATACTCTTACAAAAGCAGGAAGAGAGCCTTGCTCTTGGTATCAATAGCTGCTAACGCAGCCTCCAGAGTTGCTTGCCAAGGCTGAATAATGACCACAGACACATTATTTCTGTCTTCTTGGAGCCTGTGATGGGTGTTGCAGCTGTTATCCTATAAAGAGAGAGGGACCTATCTCTTGCTATTAATCTACCCCATGCCAATCATTCTGACTGCTCTTTATTTCTCCTTTACTCTATCAGGTGGCCACATCAGTGGGGGAGAAAGGAATGTTTTTAAAGGAAGCTAAATCTTGTCAAAATCTTTTTGCTGCCTGCATAAACAGAAGCTAAGGATGTGAAAAATCAGACCAAAGATACAATTCTGTGAATTGGTTTGAGATGGCAATTGTGTTGTCAACTTATAAAAAATACTCTTGGCAGTAACCACACTGCTCATATTTTTCATATGTCAAGGAGACACTAGAGATCTTAAGAAACTGTCTTGAGGTTTTGCAATAAAATCCTGTACCATAGAAAGGCTAGATCCATGACTGAGGTATTAGACAGGGGCTCTGAAGTTCATCTTCAAGCAATGCAACATATTTTTTACACGACTATGGATAAATCACTTTATGCCTCTATATTTTCCCCCTTAAAATGGGTGTAATTACATTAACCTACCATGGGTAAAGTCTTGAGCTGTTCTGAGGTGTTCAGAAGCTGCAGTGATAAAAACAAAATAAGTGCTAAGAAATGACAGCATATACTGCAAATATTGCAAACAAAAACTAAGACATGTGTCAAACATTTCAGTTGGCTTCAGCTTAGAGCAGAGAAAGAAAGCAAAAGCAAATAGACATCATCAGCCAAGCATGAAAACCACATAATTCACCTTCAACCTACGAACTTCTGGAATTTTGGAATAAATTATTTCTCTGTTCATTAGTATGAGGCACTTGTAATAAAGTCCAAATGTTCTTATTATTGTTGAACCCTGATGCTGAAATGTAGCTCTTTTAAAGTTAACGGTAATCATTTGCAATATAGTAGCCAAATGGAGGCCCCATTGGAAATCAATGTCCCATTGTACTAGGTCCTGTGTCTAGACAGTCACGGACAGTCCCAGTCTTTGAAAAGATTACAGGCTGAATAGACAAGAGAGACAAAAATGTGGAGAAGCCAGCAGACCACAAAGTGAAGCGTTGTGCTCACGTTCCCAGTGCTTGTCCCCGGTGAAACAGAGGGTGAGGGTTTGAGCGGGGCTGCAGGGGCTGAGCGCTCTCACACCTCCTCCCACGTAGGGCCTAAAGGAAGGATTGCTGCAGAGCTCCTGCTGCCCGTGAGAATAACGACGACAGAAAGACAACAGGATCAGCCAAGGAGTCTGCAGCTGAGAAGAGCCTACATGATATTTATCATCTGTCTGTAGGAGGGAATCATATTGCTTTCGTACAGACGGACGTGCACAGATCCCCTCCTGAAAATGCAGAACAACGCTCCCCGCTCCCATCCTGGTTTAGCTAGTGATTACATTAAATCTAGGAGTATTTGTACCTGCATCTGAATAATTTTAATTAGCAAAAATCAGTTTGTGTATGCACACAGAGGAACCTGTAGGTGCAGTGGACCTACTTTAACTTTAGGATGAAGCTTCTGTGAAAATGGTGTGTGTGACCTCCAAAACTGTTTGCCAACTTCAAACAAATTTGGCCCTGGTGTTCTCAGGAATTTTGAGAAAATATATGGGTTAACAGGGGAGAGAGGATCAGTGTCAGTACCTCTCCAGCTGCAGGACCTCATCCCACTGGACATGGACATCGCTATAGGAAATGGGGTTTCATTTGTCCATGAAATGACTTCTCTATAAACACACCCATTGTATCGCATTTCAGTGCTTCCTTATCCAGCTTCCTTCTCCTCAAGGTCAATAGGAATTAACATTAGTTAGATCAAATTTGGTTTTAATAAATGTTTTGACCTTCAGATTGGGCTTTTCTTTATAAATACTGTTTGTTTTCTTAGCATCTTATCCTGAAGCCTTGAAGAAAACCCAAATCCATAAATAGTCCTGTCAGTCCCAGTAAAGACACTTATGAACCAACAAAACCCCATAAGAGTCTGGAAGGGCATGGTTTGGGCTTACCTCATTAGTATAGGACTTTTACATTGTAATTAACACGAGTACAGTCCAAAAAAATCTGTCCTTTTAACTGTGAACATTTCAGGGCAAGGAACATGTCTGTACACGCATGGGCAGTACCTACATATTACAGTTGCCAGAAGAACGTGAATGAACGACAGCATCTTCTTCTGCATTATTCTGAACATAGAAGTCTTCAGCGGCTCAATTTTCTCATCAAGAGGACTTCAGTTTGATGAATCATTGCTTGGCTGTTTACAGCATCAAGGAATGTAGGAGAGGCTGCTTTGCATGCACATGATTGATTTATAGATCAGACCTATCCTTCAACTGCAAAACTCAGTCACGTCAATGCTGCTGCTGCATGTGCACAATGAAAATGTGTAGTTCAACATTTGCCGAAAACTTTGCTTAACAGAATGTACTATCGGGGCATTGTGGTTTCTTTTCCAAACAAGACGCTCGCCCATTAATATCCTTTACTAATGTGTTCAGATGTGTCGGTTCAGACCGTAGATTATTTGCCTCCACTGCTTCAGTTCAACACATAAACAAAAATTCTTTGTGACAGGTCCAACAGCTGAGTTACAAATACATTAAACAAAACCTCATACCGACATATTAAAAACAAACTGCTTTTTTAGTGACTTTTTTTTTATTTTGATAAGTTATAAATAGCTAACAAACGTCTAAGTTTTGGGAGATGGATCTGGGGAAACATATACTTATTTCTTATTGGTATAAGGATCTTATGCATACATCAAGAGTCCATTTTGCTGAGCGTATAGCCATATATTTAAGTGTAAGAGCTTCAATCCAGCTGGATTGTTTACCAAATAAGGATGTTTTCCTGATTAGGAGAGAACACATGGTTCTTATACATAAGTCCATTGTGCGCTTGTCTTATCCGTGTGTGTGTGTGTGTGTGTGTGTGTGTCTTTGTGTGTGTGTGTAAAACAATCTGTAAAACATTGTTTATAAATTGTTTGATATTAAGGACTCTCTATATTATACTGTAAATTCCATTCTCAGTGTGGTGGTTGCTTATCTCCTCTGTGACCTTTTGCCTCTAGATTCAGCTGAAGTCCCCCAAAGAGGTGATAGAAGAAAAAAATCTTTAACTTGGCATAGATTTAACAGCAGAGGATCATAAAACTATGGTGATCATCTACTCAATTAGAGTCTATCTAATCCTACAGCAGCAAAAAAATTGGCCATGGCTCAAGGCAAACTAATTGTTTCAGTTTGAAAGTCAGCAGGATGACAAGTGAGCTACGGATGAGGTGGTGACGGATTCTGAGCATCTGACAAATCTGATCTGGGATACTCCTGACAAGGAGACTAGTGACAATCCAAGAAGAGTTCTCTCTTCAGTCACATCAAAAAATGAGACTAGGAACAGAAAAAAGGCTGGAGAAAGGAGAGGAGAAGGACATGTCCAGCAGGGAAAAGGGGAGATGAAGGAGGGTGGATTCTTATTTAAAAGTCTCTAATCTAAACCCTAAGATTGCTTAGCAGCAAGGCTGTGGTGGCAGGCAAATGCGTACAGCTTGCTTACCTTTTTTCCCCCTTTGAATTTTTGTTATCAGCTAAAAAATAGTGTCGTTCGCTGGAACTCACGTGTGTCCTGGGAGAACCACGCTGTAAGCTCAGATAGCTCCCGGGCTTGAAGGTCTGGGAAGCTGGAGCATTCTGGACGTCAGCACCAGTCCTGGAGGCTGCCATGTGAGGCTCTTTTGCTATAAAAGCTTCAAAAGAGTCAGAGGCAGCGTCTGGAACTGCATCAAATGTAGATATATTGACTCTCTAATACAACTCAAAACACAGTGGTTGGGTGAATATCAGCAGATCTGTGACAACACAGCTCTTCCCTATATGGAAGTACACAAGTGCTATCAGGTGAATCCCCTAATTGGCTCTGAAAGGTCTTAGGGAAGCAACAGTTATTCAGTACTGAGAAAAATATAGAAGCCAGTTGGATATCATTCTAGTTTAGGCTGAAAATTCACATGTTCCTCAATAAGACCCCAAACGTTAGGAGACGTGGCCAAACATTAGGGGGAGACTTTTGAGCACTGAATTTCCCGGAACTGAGACACAAATGCTTGCCTAGCTTTTTCCACGTGGTAGCACAGGAGCATTCCAAAATGCAGACATGGATGTAGCAAAACAACAGATCCAAAAAATAGAAATGATTCAAGTGGGAGCTCTGAAGAAATTATCACATCTTGTTCTGCATGGTAAGATCTGAGTACCTGCAAGTATCAGAAATGACTACAACGTGTTATCACTAAGAAGAGGTAGTTTTTCATATTCCCTGAAACAGAAGGCCATTGCTAGAAGCTAAAGGTTGAATGCAATGAGCAAATCATGCAGATTTGGAACAAAAATTCATTTTTTTCTGGGAGCAAGGCCCTCTTCTCTTTATAGCATCTCCAGTGGTGTGTAGTAGAGAGGGCATGAAAACTGAAGGGTTACAAGTAAAAGTGTAACAAAGTGCTACCCAAAAGAATGAGAATTCATATGTGTTTGTAGTTTTCCCTAGTGACAAAAGGACAGTTTTGCAGTCACACTCCTTGTTTCCCATTCATGGTAATCCTGCCTCAAAAATCCACTAGCATCATAGTGTCACAGAAAAAGGGACCTCTGAGATCACCTAGTTCAGCCTTCTGGTGGAAACAGTGCTTTAGATCAGGTTATCCAGGCCCCTGCCAAGCTGAGTCTTGAATATTTTCAGCAAGAGTTCACCACTTTTCTGGGTAACCTAGTCCAGCACCTAATTATTCTCAAGGTGAAAAATCACATTCCTATACCCAGATGGAACTTCCCCTGAAATAACTTGCGCCTGTTCCCTCTTGTGCTGTCACTGTCCCTCCTTGTAAAGAGACATCCATCCATCTTCTCAATAAGTACCTTTTAGGTATTGAAGACTGTGATCATCTCCCCCAAGCTTTCTTTAGGCTGTACAAATCTAATACCACCATTCTTTCCTCACATGACAAGCTTTCTAACCCTTTAACCATCTTGGTGGTCCTTTGCTGCACCCTCTCCAGTTTTTCAATGCCTCCCTTAAACCACGGGACCAAAACGGGATGCACTATTCCCAATACGGCCTAACAAGTGCTGCATACATGGCTGATCACATCCGTTGACCTGCTGGCTATTCTTTTACTGGTGCCGCACAGGACCAGCTGCCTTTGGTGCTGCCTGGGTGCATGGCTGGCCTGTACTCAGCTCACTGCTCAACAGGCCCCCAAGGCCTTCTCGAACTCAGAGCTGCTCTCCAGCCCTGCTGGCCCCAGCCTACACTGCTACTAGGGACTACTATTCCATCCCAGATACAGGTCTTCATGTATATCTTTGCTAAACCTCATGCAATTCTTGTTGGCCCAGTCTTCTAGCCTATCAAGGTCTCTTTGAACGGTTAATCTTCCTTCTAGCATGCCTACCTCCCACTGCATCATCCAAAAACCTGTTGAAAGCACATTCAATCCTATCATCCACGTCACTTATAAAGATATCGAATAGCCAACCCTTGAGGAATTTTGCTCGTGACTGGCTGCTAGTTCTACTTCAAGAAATGAATTATCGTCCTTTGAGCTCAGTAGTTCTGTCAGTTTTCTACCCATCTTGTAGTCCACCTTTCCAGTCCGTATCTTACCAGCTTGTCAGCAAGGATGTTATGGGCGACCATGTCCAACGCCTTGCTAAAATCAAGGTAGGTGAAGTCCACAGAAAGTGGACTGAGCAAGTTATTTCATTGTAGGAGGCAATCAGGATGGTCAAGCCTGATTTATCTCCGGAAAATCTGTGTTTTTTTTTTTTTTTTTTCCGGTCACCTTTTTGTCCCTCATGTGACAGGAAGTAGTTTCCATGCAACTTGATCTATATTTTTCCCAGTGGCTGACTGGTCTGTAGTTTTCCAATCTATCTCCCCTTTCTGTAGATGGGAGTAATATTTCCCCTTTTCCAGTCACCTGGGGCTTCCCTGATCACCATGATCTTTCAAAGATGACAGAGAGAGGCTTTGCAATGATCTCAGAAAACTTTTCTAGTACCCTCAGATGCTGCTAAGGCACACAGACTTTCAGGTGTACAGCTTGTATCGATAGTCCCTACCTCAACTTTCCTCCATTACTACTCTTCTTGCTGTTTATTCTGTCATTGCTTCTTGGCATAGAGACATGGGTGCTTATATCACCCATGAAGGCTGGGGTGAAGGCGGCATGGAGTTCCTCATTCTTTTCTGTCATTTGTAATTAACTTGCTAGCGTCATTCAGCAGCTGACCTATGTCTTTCTTGTACTTCTGCTTGCATATACATACCCATAATGGCCTCTCTTGTTATATTTGACCCCCTTTACTAGTTTGGGCTCCAGCTGAGCTTTTACCTTCCTAACTGCATATCTGCACACCTGAACAATATTTCTTTATTCCTCTTTACGAGTCTGTAGCCTTTTCCATCTCTCTTACACTTCTCCTTTCCATATGAGCTCTCTCACCAGCTCACTGTTTATCCAGGCTGGTTTCTTGTTATGACTGCCATATAGCACGGTATGGGCCACTCATGCTTTGAGAAGGCTGTCTCCTAAAATCTCCCAGCACTCCTGAGGTCCTTTGCCCTCCAAGGCAGACTCCCATGAGATCTCAATCAACACTTTCCTGAGGAAGCTGAAATCTGTTTTCCCTACTCAGGGTCTTTATTCTGTTACTTGTCTTCATCATGCGCCTTAGGATCTTACAGTCACTATAGCCAGGGCTGCCAATGATGGTCCCGTCTCCAAACAAATCTCTTCTGCTTGCCAAGTAGAAGAGCACTACTCCTAATCAGTGTATCCAGCAATTACCTTAGGAAGTTATCCTTGATACACTGCAGAAATCTAAATCATTTGTGCATCAGCGTGTTGCTTTCCTAGCAAATATCAGGGTAGCTGAAGGGTGGATATCTGCCTACATGTGCCGTATGAGTGAACCCCTGATGAGCAAATAAAGCTTCTTCTGATAGAAAGATGTTTTTTTCTGCAAAGGGCTTTGAAACAGAGCCTGTCTTGGACGTCTGTGCAGGATTTTTCTGCAAGTCTGAATGCTACTTATTTCTCTAGAAACCTGAGAAGAAAAGCCTAACGTTAGTCAGCTGCTTGTGAGAGCTGCTAGTTCATACATGAGATAGACCCAGCCCAAATTTCTGGATGTAGGTAAACACTCTGGACTTAGGAACATGCAGAAGAAAAATTCATTTCTTTGTCAATTAAGGCAGCAAACCAGGAGGATTCCAAATGAAGATTGTCAACTGAAGGAACAAACAAGGCCTTTTACTTTGCCGTTTACTTTGCATAGCTGACACTGAAAGAGACAATAAAGGCTGACCGAGCCTTGCCTTCTAAGTTCAGTCATAGCCAGGCTGTGCTGTCTCCATGATAAAGAAAGAAGCTGGGAAAGACAGCACAATTTGGCTATAAGCGCACCTCGCCTCTGCTTGACTCTCTCTTCTATTTCACCGATTCTGATGATAGCAAAGAAAGACCCCGCAGCTGAAAAATAACAACAAACTCAGCTTGCTCTCCTGCAGCAGAAATGGCAGTCTTCGTATTACAAGCCCCTGATTCACAAAATTGAGAGCTTTAGGAGATTCATCCAGGCAGGAATCCTGCCAGAACAATAGGAAAGCCATTGTTATTTGTGTTACAATGGTAAATAAGATCTCAGACAGAGATCCCTGCCCATTCCGAGGTGGATAAAATCCTTGACCCAAAGAGCTGACCGTGAAGAGAGAGAAGGTAGACCACGGGGGTGGCGTCGAGGAAGAGCTGCCCTGCCCCAGGGCCCTCACACATCTGGAGCTCTGAGAAACTGGTCTAGTCACTGGCTGTGAAATATGGGGTGAGAATTTGTCCAGCAGCTGGAATCAAAACCTGCGTTTGATGCCTGGCCCACATAGACCGTTCTTTCTTTTTCAGAACTGTATGTTGTTCTGAGATGAAACACAGGCTTCCAGTAACAAACTTTTGAACCAGTTCTGTGACCATTTAAACTGATATATTTCAGGACACATTAAATATTTTAACAAGCATAATTCCTCACTATTTTTTTCTACAGTTGTTAATTTTCTTTACTTCAGCTGTGGAATACTAACAGAATGAATAAATCCACTAAATGTGTAATTAAAATTTCAAAAGCTTTTAGAAGCCTCTTTAAAGAATGAGTGTTTATTTGTCTACTTGGTGAGAATGGTAAGAAAGTTATGAAAGTATGCAGCCATTCAAATATACATTAAAGGAATATTACTAGCTTTGCATATTATTTACTTACTAAGAATACGATAAATTCTGACGTACTACATTGCTGAAAACCTATTGTTAACCAGAATGGATGATCTCAATGAAGTGAAATTAAATAGATATTATTAGATTTGATTATTAGATATGATTTATGTTAACAGTGTGGAAAACAATCATGGAGAAAGATATTTGCATTAAAGAATGTGCTATATAACCTCTGTCCAAAGCATTAGCAATACCTCATTTTAAGAAAAGCTTAACAAGTTATCTTGATCAGAATACATGTGACTGAGGGATAAAAAGACTTGTTGATCCAGACAGTCACATTTATAGACATAAGTATACAAATTTCTTTCATATTCTGAAACAAAATTGAATTAATGAAAGCAAAAAGACATAATACTAAACATACAGTCAATAGATTCATCAAAGTGTTGCAATGGTGTCTTTCCGTCCAGAGACAAATCTTCTTCATCATTTTCCTGTAACTGTATAGTCAATCTTCCCAGAGATTTTGTAGCTCTAAGAAATGGAAAAACCCTGAAAGCAGAATAGTGTGAAAAAATCTATCCTAAACAAGCACCATACCATTTAGACTTTCTGTTTTTAAGGTGAAGTCTTACATAATTTTTCTGTCCAAAGCTGTTAAACCTGTAATCTTTTTGACTTTTTATCTCTTGGAGAACAGCGAAAAAGTTTCTGAAATATGAATATCTGAGTTTCTCACACAAATGGAACTCCTTGACGAGCATCACATAAGACATGCCACCTAGTTTATACTATTTTGCTTTCACCATCAAGTTTCTCACTAGGTAAGGTCTGTGGCAGATCACTTGATAACTGGCAGACACAGAAAGGTCTTGCTAGAAAAGCTGATTAACTTGAAACTAGCATGTCTCTGCTCAGCTCCAAGGTCAGTGGACTGCTTAAGAGTAATGCCTGAAAAATATTACCAGGCAATTCATCTGATCTAGTGAGAAAATAAAACGGTAGTGTTCTGAACTTCGATCGTAAGAAAAGCGACAGTACAGGCAGTATCAGACTGGAAGGGCTCCTCAGAGTCAACCAAATGATATGTTATTATACAGGCTTTTGTGCTTCAGGGAATCCATACATCTCTATACAGATTATACAGTAAGACACAGATCTTATATAATTAAAGACGCAGATCTGTGAAACCACACGGACGGATAAGCAGTTCTTTTAGGTAATATTAAGTGAGTTAAGCACTTACTCCAGAGTTTCACTGGGTAATCACCGAGTCATTTAATCACTTCTTAAGTGACTCAATGCTTTTTTAGTAAAAGATAATCCTTAAGGAAAGATGCCTTGTTAGAAGCAAAAGAGCCTTTCTTCATATTGCAAGACTATTTCTGGAGTACAGTTCAATATTACTTTGCCCCGATGAAAGTCACCTTCCTGACCTCACCTTGCTGAGGACGATGTCTGTTCTGAGCTTGCTAGCAGATGTAATTCTAGGAAGAGCCACACTGCCATCCTTGGGCTTCATCTTGTTTCTCACCTGCTGGTCAGATCTGAAACCATCATTGCAGAGTCCTATCTCAGTTCATCTTTCAAGTAGGTCTGTAATACGAAAAACCTGGTGGCCTTACGACCAAAGTCTAAAATTATCAGCCAAGCTGTTTCTGTGTCAGGAGGGATGGCTGGTTCTCCAAGTCCTAAGAAAAATGCAGTATACCAGTAAAATAACTGAGTCACCTGGAGGGGATTTGCAACCCATATAAACACAGAACAAGCTAAAAATGACTTATAAAATATCTAGGCCCAGCCTAAGAAAAATATGATTAAGAAAGTCAGATAAACACTCGTTCTCAGAAATGATAGCTTGCTATCATATTTACGAGAAAATGGATTTCATTTTTCAAGCCTCTGTCACCTCCTTAGTTGTCCACTCTTACTATCAAGAGGACACAAAAAGATATCTGAGTACCACAGATAGACTTATTTGAGTAGTACGTCTGATTCAAAGTTAAGTTTGAATCAAACATAGCTGATGATGTCAACTTTGAGTCCTTAGATTTGAAACTGAGGAATGAGCTTTAATCAGCTACCCTCGTTTTAATCAGAACATGAAGATACACACACTGACAGGCACATGCTTACCTCGATACGTTTAACTAAAGGATTTTTAAAATTGCGTTTTCCAGGGTTCAGAAAAAATCTGTTAAGCAAAAAAGAGTTCAATGGAACTGAAAGGATCATTTTGACTCCCTCACACGCAATTTAACATTCCTTTGGTTAGAAACGTTAAAGTAATTTTATTAAAAAGAAGAAGATGGGGATAAACCCATCAATCTAGCACTCTTTGCTGTTATCTTGGTACCCATTAGAAATGCTTAGTAGGAAATAAACTGGCACAAGAGTTTTTCTATGAAGATTACTATACATAGGACTAGACACAGATACCCCGCTGCCTTTTGCCATCCTGCAAATGAAAGAGAAAATAGATTACATCTCACTTCTGATAAGAACTGAAGTGAAAATTACAAATTCTTCTCTTGTAACACAGTATAGAACTTGCAGTTGCGTAAAGTAAATGTAGGAACGTGTAGCTGAATTTATTGGCAATCATATAGTCGTAGCAGGCATTCTTATCAGCTTTTTTATTACTGTTCAGATATAAGCAGCAGTTTTGAACTAGGTGTTCATAAGTTATTGATTGCTAGATATCAATTGTGCCACCATCGTGAAAGTAAATACTAACAAATAATATCAGCTAGGAGCCACATTATTTTGACCCATTGTTTGTTTAACGTTTGCTACATTACTTAGGTCAATACAATAGCTGGAATATTCTAAATGCTTGCAGTACAGACATTAATTTTATAATGAAATTAAGAAATTAGATTCTAATTGGGAAACAAAACATAACCTCACTCAAAAGAAGTATAAGATAAATTCTTCTGAAATATGCTATAAGTAGCCTAAAGAAGAAACTTAAAATTCCAAGGCTGTTAGGCTTCAGGAAAAGATCACTGACTTATCAAATTATGCAAATATACTACTATCACGTAGCCTCTAAATTAATCACAAACTAAATCAAAAGTCTTCTAAAATAATCCTGTTAGCATCATACCTTTCTAACTGAAAAAAAAGTCAAAGAAAAAAAAAAAAAGAATGTCTAGAGGATCTGAAAGTATGAAGAAAGAAGAACTTTTCTAAAGCTTAGATGCCATCTGCTGGACGGGTAAAAAGAACGCAGCGGACCTCAGGCACATAAATGATCAACGCTCACCTGGAAATCTGAGGATGGGCTGTCCCCAGAATTGCTCATACGAAACAAGAGAACATCAGAATTAGGAAACAAATCTTTCTCGGGACTGCACAACTCACCAGGGAGTGGAAGAAAGGTACAAGTGCTAACTGACGTCCTAGTTCTATTCAAAGAGTGACTATTCATTTCAGGAAAGAGTAAAAGGGACACCAAACGCATTTATTTTGAAAAGGGGTTTTTCAGCAAGATTCCTTTCAAGACAGAGACTTGTGTCCTGAAACCTGGCACTTGCTGGCACTGACTTCATAAAATTTTGCTTTATCCAGAGGACCTATGAAAGATGACAATGAAGAAACTACAACAAAACGCCAAAGATGGATGAAGCAAGATTTACATCTTTCTTACACAGCACATAGGGACTGACAAATCCAACATCAATGCTCAAAAATTCCATAAGGAGTTTATAACCCTTGAAAACCTAAGAGAAAAAAATTATTGGTCTGTTTAAATAGCCACTAACCAGATCCTTGACTTCCGCTCCACAGCTTTGGACTTTCACATCGACAGGCTTCAAATAAATAATGCAACACACGCAACACTGATAAACCTTTTGGGATACCTTCACTTCTACACTGAGCTGTATCATTGTTTTTGTGGGGAACACACACTTCAACACGTCTCTTCCAGCTAGCAAGTCAATCTCTGTCACTATCCTGTTTGTGGGGCTTTCTAGCGCTTCTGGATTATCCTTTGCTATCTCTTTTTTTCTCAGCTGGAAATTAAGAGTGGCTTCTGCACTGCTGGAAACCTCTGATGAGTCCACAGCACACCTTGCCCAGCATTGTTCGAGCCATGGCAACCAGCTGCAGCAATTGTGCATGGCTGCTGGGCTAAATAGCAATGAACAAAAACTCCTGAGCTTGCAGGCACTGGGCTCATAATCTGTCCTGTTTTCTCAGCAGGTATAAGAGGTTTGCTGCATCATGAGGGCATTGGATGGCCTGTATATGTGCAAGTGTGTAATTGACATGAACTGTCTGTCTGTGGAGCCTCAGCGGGAAATGTGAAAGCCCTGTCTCTTGTAAGAGAAGCACACTGTTGAGGGCTATTGCCAGTTTCACTCTCCTGTCTCTAAATGTAAAGCACTATTGATCCTGTACTAATATTGCTCTTCTATCAACTTTATTTTGTTTACCCTTATGCCCCCCACCCCGCTCCTTTGTGTAAGTGCACACCTCTATGGGGGGGGCATCCTCTCAGTCTCTCCTTTTAGAGCAGTCGTGAGACATGGCAGTTAGGCAGGCAAAAGAATAATTCATAACTCCTGATATTTCAGTCTTCATATGCCCATACAAATCAGGTTTCACGATGATTTTGGCATTATTTTCTAGGGCCTAACTGATGATGCTAGCCTGTGTGCTTAGCTCGGACTTTTTGAAACTAATCTGCCTTCCACCAGTCTGAATTAACTCAGATTCTGTTTTTTGGTTTTGTTTTTCGTCTGTGGAAGGCTGCCTTTGCGGTCGTATTTCCAACTGGTGGGCCATTTCGCAAGTGCTTATTTTGTAGGTTGAAGCTGAAGCATGTTTAGCCAGTCTTCGAAAAGGGATGCCCTCTCTCCCTGGTGTAGATTGACTTGGATGGCACGATCTCCCTATTGCATCTCACCGAAGCCTGGTTAAAGTCCACTTCCTGTGGCCGATTTCACATTTGCCATTTGTGCTCAGCTTCCCTGACTTTATGTCTAGCTTTGCAGTTCTAAAGTACTTTTTATCATCCCCTCTACCCTAGCAAACCAATTATCCTCTTCTGTAGCTTGGCTCTCCTAATAATCTTATTTTTATGTGACTGCTGTAGCAGAAACTGTTTTAACAGTGTTACTGTAACCATCTGTACCAGACATGCAAGTGAACACTGAATAAATCCTGAAATGGAATTGCCACATGTTCAGCTGTCTCCTTCATCTTAGAAAATACCATGTAGCCAAGAAAGTAGAAAGGCAAACACAATAATACCTATTTAATTTGATTTTCCCCTTCACTGAACTTGTCTTCTAACAAACAATTAGTGGATGATTCTTATTTCTTCCTGATTTCAATGCTGGTAATTTGATTTTCATCTTATTTTATTTTTTTAAAAAGTCAAATTTTAAATTACTGCACTTTGAAGATCTGCTGATTTCCCCTCTCCCACCTCCAATAAAGGACAGAATGAGATACAGCTAAAATTGAAAGACTGGTCAGCAAATTTGGTCAGGATTAGCAGCCAGGCCTCTTTACTCTCAGTCATACCCCTAAGCATTGGTCTGAACTCCCTTTTAAACTGACTATCAGAAGCCTGGGAACATGGCAGTAAAAAAAAAAAAAAAAAACAGTAGGTCATTTTTAAACAAAGAAAAACATACTATTAAATCCCCAGTACCTCAGCCCTCCTTCCATGTTTCATTTTACTGCTATCCACCTGAAGAGTTCAGTAGTGATCCACCCTGCACATGAAACAGACAAAAGAACAAGCACATTCATCAGCTTTGTTTTGCAGAGCTCAGTTCAGTAATAGTACTGTCATACAGCGAATTTTGCAATTAGGTATTTGCATGGAGTACCAGGAGAACGGGAATCGTGATGATAAGCTGCATAGCAGAAACATATAAAATACCGAGTAAAGGTTTAACACGGAAACATGCAGTGCAGTGTCTTACACTGGGCTGTCATTTTTGTGGCTTGAAGCTGAAGAGAAGGTCCCTTTGAGCTAAGAGAGTTGGCTTTTATCTAGAAGTTGAATATTTTGTGCCCCAGGTTGGCAGGGGGAAGGAACAATCTGTTCATCTGTTTTACATTTTAGCCTTTCACAACTCTGTAATTACTCCTGCTGCCCCACTTGAGTTGCCTGCCGAACCTTGAAATCTGGCTGGTAAGCAGTACTCATCTGGAACGCGTAGAGCCAGCTCAGAAGCTGTACAAACCTCTTTTAAAAATCAGCACTGAACATGCTTCTCAGTCACCTAATGAAGCAAGACACACTCCCAGAGAGACTGCTGCCCTACTAATGCTCAGACACTTGCGGTGGCAATTTGCATGCTGATGTCTGTAAATGCCTTGCTAAAGAATGACAGCGTACAAAGGAGGGTGGAAGAGCAGAGCAGAAACGTGCGCGAGCACGCGCTCGCGCTCGCGTGTGCGTGGGCACCCTTGTTTGAGTCCAGGTGTCTGGACAAAACAGAAATGTACAGCCCACGTGGTCTGATGGAATTTAAAACGGGTGCTTGCTGGTACAGACTGGGCTGCATCACCTCCCATTAAATTTATATATAACAACGGTCTTAACTGCTGAGAGCCATCACAGACTACTGGGTGTTCTGCTGACCCCTTAACCTCGCAGACACAGCTTCTACCATTTCATTTGCTGTCATCTTAAAAATAATTAGTGAGGCTGGAAAAAATGGGGGTTTGTACCATTGTGGTATAGCAGGTAAGAAGCTGATTAAAAGAAAGGGAGTGGAGCCGTCCATACTTACAGGGCATTATGATGTTGGAAGTACGTTATTTTAGCAATTCTGCAGGGACTTCTGTTCAGACCCACCTTATTTGAAATTTCCTTTAATGACTTCATTGCAAAAAAGTAGAAACACTGTGCAGAAACATCATGACTAGCTCCAAGTTTGGAGGCACTGTCAACATAAAAAAGTGACTATCAGAACTAGAATCAGAGAAATAATTTTAAGCAGTGCAGACTCTAGTCGTCTCTTCCGCAACAGTAACAGGAATTTCTGCCTTGAGCTGGAGACCAGTCCTCAAAAACTGCCAAAAGGTAGGAGACAGGTAACTGTGTATAGCTGATCGTAAGGCCTCTATACATCACTAACAAGACTGCTGTGAGACGGGCAAGTGCTTTCATGGTGCTGGTGCTAAGCAATACACAGAAGCACAAATGGTATTAGTGAGATTTCATGTGGGGGATGGAGTACAGTTCCGGTCACCCAAGACCAAGAATGATTAAATCAATTTTGAACAGGTGCAAAGAAAGACAACTAAGATGATCAGAGGAATAAAGAAAAAACTACAGGAGCTTGGCATATTTAGTCTCAGAAAATGAAAGACGAGAGGGGTACAATTACTGTGCATGAATACATCACAGAGGAGAATGCTGAAAGGCCATGCTGGCCCACAAACAGATAGGTTTAAGCTGATCACAGACACATCTATGTTGGAGACAGGAAGTTATTCACTTTCAGAACAGAGGGTTTCTGACCTAGCATGCTTTACTGTCAGAGTAATCAGGACAAGAAAACACCTTAAGTTGTTTTAAGATGTTTTTAAAATAACAAGGAGTCAGACGTGATCCCTGAGAAAGGCTCCCCTCACCCTGCCTCTTATATTCCCAGTTACTGTGTTTGAGCTAGAGCCTGCGTGTGGATACAGAACTATAATGTTGTCGGCATAACTGAGAAGTGGTGGGTTAGCTTGCAAGACTGGAGTGCTGCGATGGATGAGCACAAGCCCTCCAGGAGGGTCAGGCAGGGAGGATAAGGCTAGGTGGCCCTCTCTGTGAGGCAACAGCTCAGACACACAGGGCTCCTCCATGGGATGGGCGGCAGACAGGGTGAAGACCGGCAGGTCGGGTCAGCAGAGAAAGCAGCGAGACGGATGACACTGCAGGGGAGCGTGTTACCGACCACCCCACTGGTGGGGGGAAACGGCCGAAGCCTTCTTTAAACAATATAAGGGCACCTCTAGGTCACCGACCCTGGTTCACATGGGGGACTTCAACCTTCCCGACATCTGCTGCAAGGGAAACATGGCAGGACACGCGCAGTCAAGCAGATTTATGGAAGGTGTCAGGGACAACACAGATGCTGTCCTGGATCTGCTACTCACTAACACGGAAGAGCTGGTCAGGGTATGATAATCAAATTGACAGTAGTGACCACGAAATAGAGGAGTTCAAGATCCTATGGGGAATGAGGAAGGTCAATGGCATAGTACAGACCCAGGACCTCAGGAGAGAAAACATGGACTTATTCAGGGAATAGGTAGGCAGGAGGCACCTCTTCTAGGAGGGGCAAAGGAGCTCACAAGGGCTGGCAAGTCTCTAAAGATAATCTTCTTCAAGCTCAAGAAAAGTCCACCCCAAAGCTCAGCAAAACAAGCAGATGTACCAGAAGACTGGCATGGCTAAACAGGCAACTCATGATGGATAGCCAATGTAAAAAGGATGGCAGAAGTTAGGACAGGCTATGAAAGAGGAATACAGAAACATTGCCAAGTGTCCAGGGATGAGATTAGGAAAAATCAAAGCTGAACTAGGGTTGAAGCTAGCAAGCCACATCAAGAGCAACAGGAGGCATTTCTGCTGCTACATAAAGAGTAAAAAAATAAACAAGGAAAATACGTCCACACCAAATGGGGTAGGTGATAGTTAGAGTGAATGCAAAAAAAGGCTGAAGTACTCAATTTCTCATGCTGGTAGAGTGTGAGGGCAGAGCTGCCTGAAGGAAGGGACTGACAGGGCTCCCATGACATCAAACACGGACAAGTGTGCACCGTACCCCAGGGATGGCAGAGCCCCGGCAGTGACACCGGCTGGGGTCAGGAGCAACTCTGCAGAGAATCCTCAGCCCCAG